CTCCAAGATTGCTTCCCTGTTCCAGTGGCAGCTCTAGCCCCTACAAAGCCAAGGAGGGCCCTGCTCCAACTTCCTCTATCTTGCTCTTGGAGAAGTTTAGAGGTGTTAGCAAGTGCGACTGGAAAGTGGAACAGAACAGACCCATAGCTACCATCTACAGAGCTGGCGGCCGCCCACCATCAAGCCTGGCCCCTGGGTGGTGTTTCACCGGTGATAGCAGCATACTGCTATTCTGCTGACGTCACGCTTGCGGTAGTGTTAGAGCAAATGGGCTTGTTGACGTCTCCATGGAAACCCAATTTGACACGTGTGATAGCAGCGTGCTGCTATCACCGGTGAGACACCACACCACCCTGGATGGAGCGCGAGGCGCGAGTGACCGGTCAGCGGACAAGGAGCGCCGGAGTGGTAGGGCGGAGCATAGCGCTGACCTCATTACGTGGCTCCGCCCCATGAGGGCGTAGCCTATACCCAAACAGCATATCTGTTCCGTGAAATTTAACATTACGAGTGAATTAGAAGTACCTTTCATAATCATTTGGCGTCAAAATACCTTTGTAATAAAAGTTTCGGCAGGTTCTGAAACACCTATTGCCAGAAAATCGTCAACGAGGGCTAGTGCATTAAAAAAGTATCGCAAAAAAGTGGGGTCTCAAGGGGTTGACGCCTATAGTAGTGCCACACTTCGGCAACCAACATATCTCTCAAGCGTGAGAGCCTGCAAAGAGTCTCCATCAAGCGTGGGAATGTGCAAACGGTCGGTCTTGGACTGGTACCGGGGAACACGCGACCAGGACCTCTACCCAGCGCTCCGAGCGAGCGTTGGCTCTGACGTGAGCCTGGCTGCAGGCCGGGCAGCTCGGCTTGGGCAGCGGACGTGTAATAGCCGGTTTCCGGTGCCCCGAGGCACGACGCGACGGTTCCGCGTCGCCGGCGTGCCCTGCCGAGACTGACTATTGCGCAATGTGTTCGTGTGGCCGATCGCGGCCGCCCCGCCGGCCGGCCGCGGCCGGTTCGATGCCCTGTGTTTGAGCGAGGGTGCCGGTGTGTTTTGTAGCGCTGGGGTGGGAAGGGGGGACGCCGGTTCGATCAATCAGGTATTGCGTTCAATAGCTGGGGCTAGTGGTGACTGTGCGGGAGGGTGCATTTTCGTCTGTAGATGTTTTCAATTAAGGATAGGAATGTATTACTATGCATTTCAGACCCCATGATACCCTGTTTTTCGGCAATAATTTATTTCATATTTATCCAATTGGCTTCAAATTTTCGCAACGCACATTTCAGCTCAAGCGCCAATTTTCGCTAATATGGTCTCTTAACCCTCGCCCCGTTGGGGGGGGGGGCAATTTGGCCCCCCTGTGGTTTTTCCTGAATAGCAAGAAAACGGCAGCGCGCAACGCCGCCAAATTTTCAGTACCTTCCCGGGCATCAATTTGACACCCTCACACAAAATTTCAAGTTTTAGGTCACCTTAGGTCAGGAGTTATTGAGGTCAAACTGAAGTCATGTTCGAGCAAAAATGAGCAAAAAACATGCAATCTTAAAACGCTCACCAAATCTACAGTTACCAAGCAATTTCAAAGTTCTTTATACAGCCTAGTAGAAAAAAAAGTGGCGCTACAAAACTGCAATCTCGGATGTTCACAATTCTGGGTTATTGACCCCCAAAAATTAAAAAAATGATTTTTTTTAGAAAAACTCAAAAAATCCAAAACATTTCCAAATTTCGAAAAACGGAATATATGTGATAGTCCCTGCGCTTTTCTTTTAACATACCAAATTTCAGATCGAGATCTCGTTTTTTGGCCAAGTTATAGCGAAAAAAAACTTCAAAAATAATGACGTCAAATTTTTGAACTCAATTTTTAGCGATTTTAGACCACGTAGGGCAAAACAAAGACCACCATTGAACTCTCCGTCACAAGCTGCATCGAATCGATACCCACTTTATGCAAAAATATCAACTTTGAAATTTGACCTAATTTGACCTGACCTTAACCTGACCTTGACCTGACCTTGACTAAAACGTGACCTAAGCTGGCTCCAAAAGCTGCCTGACCCACATAATCGCATTTGCCATGTAAAATGGACCATAAAACATGTATTACACGACACTTTCATATTGTGACCCCCCAGTGACCTGACCTCTGTGACCTGACCTGGTATCAGTGACCTCAAATAGCAAAATATGTGTTTGAAGAACATTTCCCCATCGATGATTTTCAATAAAATGCATTTTACTCGATTTTACAACGCATTTCTTGAAATTCCTGTAAACGGTGAAAATTCGACATTTGACCTGACCTGTAACGTCATCGGTTTGACCTAGGTCAATAAAATTGGGTCACAAGGAAGTTCCCAGGGCTATCCAACACCGTTTGCCACTTGTCGCTAGGTTGCGTGGTTCTCGAGATCTTAGGGGGGCAAATTGCCCCCCCCCCCCCCCAACAGGGTGCGTTGCTCGGCAGAGCCCAACGGGGCGCGGGCTAACCCTCGCCGGCACAAGGGGTTGATGCAACTCCCCCTAAGGTTTTTCGCGAATAACTCGCGTAAAAAGCGACCGATCGCGACGAAACTTTCAGTACCCTCGCATTGATCACTTTTACACCTACCCTGAAAATTGCATGACCCTGCCCCAAATGACCTTTGACCTGTGACCTCTTTTCCGAGACCATGTTTGGCCGGAATCGCGATTCGGCGTATGTCGGCTTGCATTAGCCGCTCGTTTGCAAGCTTTTCGTGGTTTCAAACGTTTAACCCTCGCCCTGGCAGGGCATTTTTCATAACACGGCCTGGCAGGGGGGGGGGGTGATGCGACCCCCCTCGCGATTGGCTCCTATGGCACCTAGAAACACCACATTTGGTAGGTAGGTGGGCCCCCTGGAGTTCTCGCCCCTGTGCAAATTTAGTTGCTTTAAGTCAATATTTAGGGGGTTTTGGGGGTATAAATGTAAAAATTTCGCTAAAAACAGGCCAAAAGTTTTTCGCTTATAACTTTTGATCTAATTAAGATAGAGAAAAAAGCACCAGTGAACTCAGCACGTCAAGGCGCATGATATACTTTTTTGTTTGCTTAAGCGTACTTAAAAATTTTCTTAATTTTTAAGTAAACTTTAATTAACTAATTAAGTTCAAGTTAAGCAAATTGCATCATATCGCATATCATTCGATTCGGCTGATCACCAGGAACACAATGACACCATTTTTAAGCTCTAGCGTCATTATGTGCCAAGTTATTGGCAAAAACGTCATTTGACCTCAGTTGACCTCATTTGACCTGACCCATGGATAAGTACACCAAACAAAGAAGCACCAAGTGACCTGCTGTTAAGTACTATGGTTTCAAAGCACAAAAGTGATGGAACGAAGCGGATATCTCCAGTATTTTCAGAATTTAGTATTTTCCCATAGGCTTAACATTACGACGTAATGACCTCTAAGTTCTAACTGACCTCAGGTCAATGACCTCAAAAAAACCGAACTATATGTTATACAACTCGGTGAACTTATCACATCCTGAAAGTTTGAAGGAAATCAGTCGAAAACTGGGAGTTGGACAGGTGGAAAAAGAAAATTTAAGTTTGACCATGACCTTGTACCGGTTTTTCTGACCTGGCGACCTGACCCAAGGTCACATGGACTTGAAATTTTCAGGTCATATGTAAAAAGGTTGCCCCATAGGCTGTGCCAAATTTGGCGGCGCTGCGCGCCGCCGTTTTTACGCTATCTTCGAAAAACCTTAGGGGGGTTGCATCAACCCCCCTGCCAGGGCGAGGGTTAAACATGTGATTTGATGTTGCTCCCATACATTAGGGTGGGTGTCAAGCTCACCTGAAGGTCAGGTCAGGTTATTGACCTTTGGTGACCTCGGGTGACCTCGGTTCACTTTTTCGAGTTTTACATGTTACTAGGCTTGTTTTTGGCGCTGAATTCGAATTTAGCAACCATTTGAACATTTACGATGTAGTTTTGGTGCCTTCGTAACATGTTACGAAGCTGTCAGAGGCGGTTGACACGTATGACGTATTACGAATACCCGTCACAACCCCTACCGGTTGACCTGACCTGACCTGACCCGACCTGGTCTAAATGCTTAGAGACATCATCTCTGATCAAAACTAACACGATATTCGTGATCATGACCCCTGAAAACCACATTGCAGCCACACTTTACGACTTTCTAACAGGTCCCGATTTTCCCGGTTTTCGGGTCATTTGCCTGACCTGGAAGGTCACCCGATGACCTAGGACCTTAAAATTGGGTATCATCGGCTTCCTCTCGTGACGGGCAACACGCTCGTTTTTTCCGCGAAGCTCTAGCTCCATCAGGGGCCAAACGCGAGGGGGGTCGTACCAGCCCCCCCCCTTGTGCCGTCGAAGGACTCAAAATGGCCTGTGCCGGCGAGGGTTTAATACCTTTTTTGGCTAAACCAGGTCTTTCTCCCCTAGCGCTGGGAGTCAGGCGTATTTCCTCTTTGCAACGAAAGAGAGGCGCTGCCCGGAGAATGCTCAATTGCATCATTAAAAAAAAACTGGGTTTCATTTCCGCGATGACCAGCTATCTTCGTGGCTTAGTAGTAAGTGTGCCGAGTGTACCCACCTCGTAATCTAAAGGTCGCTGGCTCGCGGCCGGTCAGCCTCAAGTGTTTTAACACACATTCGTTTTTTAACCCGCACATGACTGGGGTATTTTCCATAACGCGAGTGACTGAGGGGGGGGGGCGCTCTCCAGAGCTCCCCCTCCTATCTCCGAAACTACTGGGCGGATCGTCAAATTTCAAACGGTGTCTGATAGCCCTGGAAAAACTGTCGAGCGAAATCTATTTTCATTGACCTCGAGTTCACCGATGACGTCACAGGTCAGGTCAAAGTAAAAATTATCGGCATTTTTGCTTGTTTACAATCTAGGCTCTGGCCGCCGACTGACGAGTCCGATCAGGCTAATTTCTGGTTAACACACTCTTTGATATAGACGCCTTGCGTATGGGCCGACTGTGACGTCATCAGCCTGAGGGCTCTTTCGCAGTCAGCTGTTGGATGGCAAAAATCATCGGCCATCCAACGGCGAAGCGTGGTTCCGTTGCGTGGTTCTGTGTTAGTGCGTCTGAGTTTCGTGTGTTTTTTCGTACGTGTACCTGAGGAAGACTTTTGCGAAATATTTTGCTCTTGCTGTGGTCGATATGGATCAGTTAGATATCCAAAGGTACCAGAAGAAGTTAATATGTGACGGGGTTCGTCTTCCGGATCCCCTTAGCGTGCCTGATGGCGACTGGAAAGCCGACCTTTGTCTGCTTCCCAAAGTCACGTTTCCAGACATATATGTCTATCTCATTAACTCAGAGGGCAGCTTTACATCAGAGAACCTGAAGGCATACAAGTCTCTAGCTTCCTGGGACTTGTTCAAGTCTGGGCACGTGGGGAAGTTGGAGGTGTTCAGACCTGGGCCCAATCTGAAGTTTATCAGATGCGAAGTGCGGGCTAGCCAGAAGGCCAGTGTGAAGTATCTGACTTGGGTGCTCTGCAGCGATGATGGGACTGTGAAGGCTGCACATTGCTTGTGCAAAGCTGGCCTTGGTGAAGTGTGCAGTCATGTCGCTGGCACTTTGTTCAAGATGCAAACTGCAGTGATGATGGGTCTAACGGAAAAGAGCTGCACCAGCAAGGCCTGTGAATGGAACTGCCAATTCAAGAAGAAGGTTGAACCGAGCACAATGGCCTCAGTCAGCAATGAAGCTGGGCTCAACATGCCTCCAGCAGTGCAAAGGAATCCGCAAGCTGACACGATCGTTCAGCAAGAGCTCATGAAATTGCTGGAGTTTCATGACTGTGCTCTGGCGTCATCTTTTCCAAGTGATGCTCTCCCAAAAAAGCAAGACGGAGAGCTGCCATATCCTCTCCACAAGGCCATGGTCACACTGAAAAGGCAAATGGAGCAGGGTAAAACTCTTTCACCAGAGTATTGCCTGCAGTTCCTGTCGAAGCTGCCGAAGATGTACCCAGATCACCTGCTAAGGAACCTAGAGGCTGCAACAGTGGCTCAGAGTCAGTCAGCAGTATGGAAAGGCCACAGACATGGTCGGCTGACTGCCTCAGTGTTTGGTGAGGTGGTGCACCATGTGAGAGGTGGTCGCAAAAGCAGTTCGCTTGTCGACAAGGTGATCTGCCCTCCAAAACTGTTGCGCACAGAGGCTGTGCAGTGGGGCATCAGACATGAAGATGCAGCAGTGGAAGCAGCCCTCGAGACCATCAAACTCGTGCACACAGGTCTGAAGGTGAGAAGGTCAGGGCTGTGGGTATGTAGTAAAGCACCATACCTGGCAGCTTCCCCAGATGGCATCTTGTCATGCGACTGCTGTGGGGAGACTCTGTTGGAGGTGAAGTGCCCCTTCAGTGTGAGAAACGGTGTTCCCCAAGAAGCGTCCTTCTTGGACGAAAACCTCATGCTGAAGGATGACCACAAGTATATGTATCAGCTACAGGGGCAGATGATGGTGACTGGAATGCAGTGTGTGTTCTTCTGTGTGTACGTCCCAGGTCAGGAGCCACATATACTGTGCATCCAGCGGGATGAGAGTCAGATTTATGATATGTGCCAGAAGCTGGAAAAGTTTTATGTCACAGAAGTCATGCCACATCTGGTGTCGTAGGACACTGGACAGGACCATGTACTGACTAGTGAGCTTTACCTACCTCAATTTGAAAGCTCCAGTTGTCCAGTGGAATGTCATAGCAATGCTGCAATGTTTGTCAGAGGCCTAGAGACTGGCTAAGTTGGCAGCTGATTTGTTGCAAAAATGTACAATGTTAACAGTCAAGCTAGTAAGCTAGTGCATTGTAGTTTGGGTTGAACATTGTGGTACAGCTTTTCTGTTAATAAAATGTACTGTGGTCTGTGGAAACTTTTTGTCTTTGCCGTTTTACTGTGGAGGTGGAGGGAGCAACACTACTCATCACTCATGTAACCCGACTGGCCTGGCGCATCAGTGAACACACAAGTTCATGACTTGTCTTGTATTGAAAGACGTGCAACATCTGACATTCATGACAACAAATACGCTTGAATATACGCAATGTAGCAAGGCACCATAAGCAGGCAACAAATGACTTCCAGCACATAGATGACAACAAATATGACTTGAGTTGATGGTACAAAAAGTAGCAAGGCACCATGAGCGAGCAAAACTAATGACAGCACATATTGTTGGGCTTACTGGCAAGCAGTCATGAAGCTAGAGTTGGTACCCGTCCCACATGAACACTAGTAGTAGGTACCTGTAACCAGATTAGCTTCATGTAACAATGTTCTTGTGTAAGTTGGTAACAGCAGCACAGACAGCAACAATGTTATCTACCTGAGGGAACATGATCACAGGCAGAGACATCTTCAAGATCCTGAAGTTTCCACGCATGCGACCTATCACTCTCTCTACATGAATCCTTGCTCTAGAAAGGAGGCGTGAGGTCTCGACATCAGAGCTACTCATCTGCGGTCTACCTTTTACAAAGGCAGGGGTGATCACACGCACGCCATACACAGCCATCTCCTCTTTGATCGTGAACCCACGATCAGCTAGAATGGTATCACCCTGTTCCATCAAGTCCAGCAACTCAGAACATAAGCTGATATGCTTGTCAGAGGCCCTGCCACCCCAAGACTCTGATATGAAGGTGATAGCACCTGCAGGAGAAATCCCCAACAACACCTTATATGTGTTGTGGTGTTTGTAGTTGCTGTAGGTCTTGGCTCTACATGACAGGTTTTTGGGGCGATCAGTAAACACCTCAAAACAATCCAAAACCACCCTCACATTCCTCAGTTTTGGGTGTCTGAAGCACAGCGGCAAATTGCTCATGACCGTTTCCTTGTCTGGCCAAACAATCATTTTCCTACACACAAAGCCCATGCTCCCTAAGCAATGGTTCACAGTTCTAGACACCCGAGCCAAGGACAACCCAAAGCGGTATGCGATGTCCTGGTGCGTCAATGCGAGCTTCAGCTTCATCATTGTCATCAGGACCATGTCATGGGCACCTACAGGCCCGCTGCACAGAGATGGACAACATGTGGTCAGTAGGTTGAGGAACCACAAGAAAACCCTCACTGATGGAAATGCAGTGTAATATTTAAACATTGGCTCATTATCTTTGATGTGGTTGTATGAAAAACCTGTAGTTCCACGCAACTTATCATTTTCAGCTCGAAGCTTTGCATTTTCAGCCTCCAAATCCTCAATACGCTGAATGAGGCTTGAAATGACCAGCTGTCGCTGGATCTCTGATGGTAGTTCTGCTGTAGATGTTGCTGCATCCCTCGTTGGCTCGGAAGTTGTATCAGTCTCTGTTGACATCTCTGTGCCAGGAGTTGCGTCCTCTGTGTGTGCAGCTGCATGCTGTGAAAGACATAGCCACACATTTTAGAGAAATCAACATGCAACAGCAGTCATTAGGTTATAATTTGTCCCTGTTTTTCATTGGCCACACTGCAACGTCAATCAGAGCCCAGAGGCCCAGAGGAGTTATCAATGTCACTTATTCAACAAGGAAGCAATTATGTTGCCATATGCTACTCACATCTTGTCTCACAACGCTATCTTCAGCAGCAGCAGCTCCATCATTCTCTTTCAAAGGCAGCCTCCGCCTGGCTGCGGCACGGTCAGCCCTCTTGACCTGACCCGAATCCGCAGATTTGGCTCCCTGGGACTTCGGAAAGTTGAAGAGACTTGGGATGTAATCTGGATGACACTTGTCCATGCTTGGTTTTCCTGAGAAAATATAATATTAGTCCAATGTAATGCCATGCAAAACAAAACAATGTGTCATTACAATTCATGCCACGCCATTGGTAAAGATATCAAAAGCTGTCCTAAATTTATGGGCAAGGCAAATTAATCAGGAAACTCACCTGTCACAAAGTGTTTTGAACACAGCCTTGAGCCCACGTATGGGACAAATCCCTTTCTTCTGGTGGCTTGGACCCAGGCAAGCCGACGGTCTGCGTCCTTCGGGAACCGAAAAAAGGACACCACATCTTTGCCTGCCCGGGACGTGCATCCATATGCAGCACATGACGATGGCATTGCTCCTAGCCTCAGAGGTTTTCCTTGTCTTCGTTTCCTTAACACAATTACCAAAAATGGCAGGAAAATCGCAATTAAAACCGCCACGTACGTGACCACCACTCCCGCCCAACGCGATCCGCCATTAGCCATGCGGTTTGTTTACGATTTTTTGCCATCCAGGCGCTGTTGCCATTTTTGTAAAATATTTTGATGACGTCACTTGAATATTGTCTATATGCCTTAGATACCCTGAGGGTACCGAACTTTTACTTCGAATTTTTCATGGCAAGGCCAGGTCATCCTAGGTCACGAAAATTGTATATCATGCATCGGCCACGTGACGCATGTTTTAGGGCCCATTTTACACGTATATTTCGAAAATAATGTCGTCTGGGTCATTTGAGGTCATTTTCAGCTGAATTTACCGGAGGTCAGGTCAATTTCAGGTCAGAAAAGGTCAAATTTTGACAATGAATTTTTCAACAAAAAGGTGCATATCAGATGCAGTTTGAGCTCAGAAACACGATGGTGCCATTTATATTGCTGTACGATGTCAAAACCGTATTGAAAAATGGTTTTGAAAAATATATAATTGTAAAATTTTGACAATAATGCAAATAACTTCGCTATTTTTGAAGATATTGGGCTAAAAATTGATAGAGTAGTTAATGAGTGTGTGTTCGATCAAACATATTCCGGTTTCTGTGAAAAATCTAAAACTTTGTGAAAGAATCAAAAATATATTTTTTGTAATTTTAAAAACATATTATTCAAAATTTTCAAAATTTCACAGATTCGAGATAGCAGTTTGATAGCTACGTGTATTTGTAGTCCATGTATGCAAAGAAATTGAATCTAGCTTTAAAACTAAGCTCTTGAGGGCGTTTGCCGTAATTCAATATTTTGCATCATAATCGGCCGACATGACGTCACTCTGACGTCATTTTCGGCCAAACTATGGTAGCTAGAAAATTGAAATTTTAACACAAGGTGTTAAATTGATGCCGCTGAGGGTATTGCAAGTTTCGTGTTGATCCGTGAAACGGCTTAGAAGATATTGCCGAAAAAAAATGCGCGGGTTATAGTAGCATCTGGCCAGCCCGCAACTGTCGTGAGGACTTATCTAATTAGCATTTGGCCAGTGGGCAACTGCCCTGAGGGCTGTACATATTTACGCGTCTTAGATTAGGTCAGGTCACGTCGGGTCAGGTTAGGTTTGCTTCGTTTTGGGGTAGAAAGACGCACCTCCGGGTTGCGCCTCTCCTTGGTTGCTAAAACGAAATACGCGAGTGCCAGACATTACGCAGTCCAAAAGACAGTCACGTAGACGTCGTCCCAATCTGGATTTTTTATATGATGTAGCTAATGTATAGGAGAATAAAATATTTGAAAATCAGCAAAATCGAAGGGTACCCATTTTACAGAAAATCAAAATTTTATTTTGAATTTTAATTAAGTTCACTAATAAGTTAAGTACGTCAATATTATTATCCTCAAATTAAAGCCTGTTATATTCTCTCCATAAGGTACACACTTCGTCTCGTGGTGATACCTATGTCTAAAACCTCAATGGTTATGACGCTTTAAAGATGATAAAGTGTCTTGCCTAAGTCAATGTTTTATGACGTGTATCTCGGAAACGTGACGTCATATCTTGACAAAAAATGTCTCCTTTCTTTTCACATATAGATGAGTGGGTTCACAAAGTTTCGCAAAAATTGGAGGAGGTGAGGTTCAAAATGATCATTTTTTGTACCACTTTGACGTCGAATGGTGAGGTCACGAAAATGACCTGACCTCATATGAATTTTAGGAAAAGTCTGAGATATACAAGTTGTGAGACTCGTAATAGATACTAGATCCTGCAAGTTTCATTTCCCTGTAAAAGTTCCTCTGGCAGTTCCTCAACTTCCTTTGGAAGTTGAGAATCTGAAGAGCGTGCAGAGGTTATGAAGAGCTTATAACGTCATAGGCAATGGCGGCGGAACGGGGAGGGCACCGGGGCACCGTGCCCCCCCCCCCTTTGATTTCGGCATTTTAACATTAGTCCTATGGGCGTTGCATGGAAAGAATGGGATCAAAAGTCGGCAGTGCCCCCCTTAATTGAAGGTGTTCCGCTGCTACTGGTCATAGGTCAGTGACCTGACCTGACCCGAAAATGCAGTTGATGTCAGAAGATCCGGCTTGAATCAAAGGTCAGGTATGCCTGCTTTCAGCTCTCTATCGCCAGCGTGTTCGGAGCTATCACGAAAAAACCCTATGGGGGCGGCATCCCCCCCTCGGCCGGCGAGGGTTAAGAGGGCCAATGCACGACTACGAAAAAGTCTTGAAAAGTTAAGACTGGGTTCCTGACTGTGGGGTACTTGTACCCTACGGCGCGGTGGCGCCGCCCATGCATGGAATCGAGGTGAACCAGGAGGTAATGTCAATATGACACCGACAGAATAGTAGATATAGCTGCACGTGGCTCTGAACTTTGAAGTGCTGCACATCGTGTCACCTGACTGAACCTGTCCAATCGACATGCCAGGTAGCACAGCTGGTTATCTCGGACCAGCTGCGCTGCGAGCTCAGTTCCGAGCTCCCCCGACGCTGGCTCGGCATAACGCTGCTAGCGTTCTGGTCGGACTCGCGTGGGCTCGTGGTGACATATCAGCTGCATGAGGCTTGAACTTTGCGTACCTATCTTAGGTTCGACCCTCGCTGTAAACGTCTCTTTCAACAAATCACGATATTTGGTAGGGGATTACTTGGAAAACTGTTGAGCGAACATTATATCTCGCATCTCGATCAATCGCACGCCGTTGAACATTAAGTCACGTCATCGGTGTTCGATACATTTTTTTTAGATAATAGTATCATTTCTTCAATACGGTGTGCGCTAACCAGTTTTCTATTAGTTTTCCCTGACATTCCCTCGGCAAATTTATACATTTTTTTCCTAGTTTGAAAAAAGTTTGAGCTAACTTTTTCAAACTGGAGGAACATGTGTTGTGCTATGTTAAAAACATGTTACACTGAGGGTTGAACTGAAATAAAACGGGCTACCTAGATATGCTGTCACTGACCTCGTAATTCAGCTTCCGATTTTTTATTCGTAAGATACGAGAGCATACTGCAAAAGCCCTGACGAATATTTGTGACAGATCTAGAACGCTTTGTCAGTCCGAAAGAGCTTGACTCAATAAAACAAACAAACAAAAAAGAGACGCCGTCCGTCGCGAAGTGCTGATGTTTCTGTCTGCCGGCAGAGTGGTGTGGTCGAGCCGGTGCCGGCTGATCGCCACCCTGGTGCTCCTCGTCACGGCCTCGACCCTGCTGCTACACGTCCAGCCGGTGGCCTGGAGACGGCAGGTGCCCGTCGCACCGGGTCCGACCGGACGGCAGGTGCCCGTCGCACCGGGTCCGACCGGCCCTCCGACCGGCGTCCCCTCCACCGCCCCCGGCCCGGCACTGACGCCGCAGTCCAGCACAACACTCCAGTGGGCTCCTCAGAACACTTCGGCGTCTGTTCCGCCAATACAGACAGGTCATCGCACACGGAAACCCGACAGCCAGAGCCACAGAGCGGACGCAGCTGCGGCCAATGCCACGGTGTGTCCGAAGGCGCCGCTCCTGACGGTGAACGGCGGCGGACGACTCGGCAACAAGCTCTGCCAGTACTTCACGCTGTGGGCCGAGCACCGGGCCAACTTCAGCAACACCAGCGTCTGGGTGGCTCCCAAGATGGCCGGCGAGTTTTCGCGCCTGTTCGGCGGCAGCCGCAGCATCCCGGCGCTGTCGGCGAGCTGCCGGCCGCAGCGGCTGGTGCCGGTCCGTATGGACGACATCGCCGCCCGACTGCGGCAGGGCAGCGACGTCTGCATCGGCGGCGGCGTCTGCAACGTGGAGGGCTTCGCGCGCCACCGCGCCGCTATGCTGGCCGAGTTCCCCTGGAGGGAGGAGCTGGCCTCAGCGGCCGCCGCCCGGCTGACCGTCGCCGCTCAGCGGCACGCGTGCAACGTATCCAGCTGCACGTTCATAGGGGTGCACATGCGGCGCACGGACTACTCGGACTGGATCAAAAGGCGGATACGCGGCACGCCAGTGGGCACAGAGTACTTCCAGTGTGCGCTGTCGCTGTGCCGCCAGCGGTACAAGGGCGCCGTGTTTATCGTCGCGAGTGACGACATTAAGTGGGCACGTGCCAATATTCTCGGAGAGGACGTGACGCTGGCGGCCGACCTGGCGCCTCCCGGCTCGCTGGCTGACCGAGCTGCTGCCCTGGATATGGCCACGCTCTCGCTGTGCAACCACACCGTCATGTCGTACGGCACGTTCGGCTTCATGGCGGCGTTCATGGCCGGCGGCGACATCGTGGTGCCGACCGGCTTCTCGGAGAACGAACACATGGTGACTGACGGCGCCATACGCGCCGGCCTACCCGTCACCCTGCTGCACTACCGCACGTGCCGGACGGTACCGCTCAGTCAGCGCACCCCGTACCGTGGCCTGGCGCTGGTCATCTCCTGTGATATGGGCTAGGGTCGGCGCGAGCGACGCCCCGTCACCGATTGGGATGAGGCTAAACTCGACGGCGCTGTGAGCGAGCTGTGCCGTAAGTTCAGTAGGTAGGGCAAGGTGGGAATAGTTCGGACACTTTTTCTTTAGAGGCCATTTGCTCAGTAACTATTCAGGTTTGGTGAACATACCTGAATAGTGGCTGCAAATAGTGGTTGCAAATAGTGGTTGGTCCCATGTGTGACCTTCATAATTACCGTGAAATAAAGGAGTTGGCTTGAAACGCGAAAGTAGAAGACGCGAACATTTTGGTGATGTCAGATGTCCGAAAGTCAGCCCCCCGTGGGGTGAACTCGGGTAGAGAATGGGGTAGCTTGGGACGGTCGGAAGCCCCCTCGGCTCTCGTTATGTGACAGTTTCATTCAGGTAGGTACAATGTGATTTCATTGTACCCGATGTCAAAACGTCACACATGCTCAATAACAACACTTTCACCACTATGGGAGATGAAAACCTGGTACTGGGTGCTCCCCGTCCTCCACTCCATACACACTCGCACGCATATGCCAACAGAAATATCTACCAATCCAAAAATGCATTTACTTATGTTTAATGTTGTAGTCATGGATGAGATTACAGTAGGCATTACTTCACTCATGCTATAGTTATATAGTTAGTTATAGCCGTGCAGCTTACCATTTAACGATCATTTGCCATCTTCATACCATTTACCATCTGATGTGTAGGCGTATGTATAGGCAAGTGCGCGCCCGGCGCGCCTCGGTGCCGTTCCCACTGTGTGTGAGTGCGCCCGGCGCCGGTACCGCGTCCGCTGCGGCGAACGGCCATTAGGTCGCGTTTCCGGTGTTTTCGGTGACACTGCAGTGCACACCGGCGCCGCGCTAACGGGGTCGGTAATCACGGCCGTGTGATGCGTCAGCAGTCAGACGGCGTGACATCACCCGCGCCGTCGGGGGAGGGGGAGGGGGGACTATGCGATGATGACTGGGGGGAGGGGGTACTAGGTGAGCACTCACACTCCTTGCAGTAGGTATGTATATGAATGCTCACGTACGCGGTACAGCCGTGTCCATCGATCAGTGATCCTTCCCACGCCAGCCCGTCGGGTGCCGCGCAGGCCCGTGAACCTGTCAGGACATGGTTGCAAGAAGCCTGGTGCGGGTAAACTTGACAGACCTGACATACGTGACAATTGATCACCTGTACGCATGGAGAAAACGGCTTTCAACCCTCCCCGACACATCTCCCAATATCACGCTCATAGCATGCTAGGGATTGTGTGTTGAGTGCTCGCGCTCTGGTGTGCCATGTCGGCTACCTCGCCTGCTCCGCCGCGCCGCCCGAGGACAGGGCTGGAGGACGGAGGTGCTCCGGCACGGGCCGGTGGTGGTGAGGAGAGTGTGTCACTGAGGGCGGAGTGGGGAGAGGGAAGCCGCGCTTCAGCGCTTTGACCGCGCCCTGCGGCCACCGCAGCGCCTGGTGTATCGTCGAGTACAGAATGATGTTCCACTTTGCACAGGCAATTATTTGCCTGGAGTCAAGTGGTAGGCTGCGCCGCATCATACGGGCTGAGTTCACAAATTATAGCTTTGTCCCAATGCTCACAATCGACACGCTTTGCGTGATAAACGGCACAACTTGACGCTCCGGTCAACTGATAGCTTCTGAGGAGTGGAACATCATTCTGTAGTCGACTATACACACATAAGATAAGCTCGGCACTCTGACCCACTGGTGTGGACTCTGGCCCACTGGCGGTCGCAGCCGTTAGCTTAAGGGGGGCCAAAGTCAAACTCGCGGAACATAACATTTATCCGTCAACCGGGAGGGGGGGGGGGGTGATCGGCTAAGTTTTTACGTGTGCAGCAAAGTCGACGCCACAAAGTGCCGCGCAGTTAGCATTTCTTATGTTACATCCATCTCATTCTTGCGTACAATTTTTGAACTCAGTTTAAGCAAAATAACCACTTCCATTTACCGTCCCACGGTGTGCTCACCGGTCGGGCCGCCGCGGCCGCACCGTGGCGACAGATCGGTGCAGCATATAAAACCAAGAGAGCATTTTTAGACTATGGCATTTACCCATGACATAGTTGTGTGGCTGCGGGAGAGAGTAGGTACACCGACCTCTAGAGACCCCCCACAGTTTCCTGGCTTTCAAATCTGAGGGCCGTGCGCAGACTCCTGCGGGGCTTTGCAACGGCTCTATTGGGGCTCACTCAACCTGCCTAAATCCTCAACTGCCAAAAAGACTGTCCCTGGGCCCTGGAGACTTCATCGGTCTCTGTCAGCCAAGGACCCACACCGGCTCATGGGGCCCCGGCGCCGAAATATGAGGGAATCTGCGCGGAACTTTCGGGACACGTTAGGCTCTGCAGGAGTTTGCATGAGTCCTCAGAACTTCAGAAGTCCACCCTGTATATTTTCACTTAGAGGCCAGTTTAGGGCCCTCGCCCCTCAGAGACTCAGGGCCTGCAAAGGCCAGTAGATTGAGACCATCAGAGACCGAGTTGGGCCCTCAGAGGCTAATGTGGGTCCTTAAGGCCGACATGGGGCCCTCAGAGGTCAGCGTAAGGTCCTAAAAGACCGGCATGGGCCGGCACTGGACCCAGAGGCCAGCAGAGGGCCCTCAAAGGCCAAGATGGGCCATCAGAGGCCGATATGGGCCCTTAGAGGCCGGCATCGGGCCTTCAACAGCCAGTGCGGGCCCTCATATAGGCGACTAAAGGTTAGTTTTGGGACCCCAGAGACAGAAATAAGGCCGCCAGAGACCGGTGTGAGGCCCTCAGACGCCGGTTAGGGCCCCTGAGACCGGTTTAGGGGCCCTCAAAGGCCAGCGGAGGGCCATCAGAGGTCGATCTGGGCTCTTTAGCGGCCAATGTGGGCGCTTGACCGGCACTGAAGGGCCCTCAGAGTTCAGTGTGGGACGCTCAAAGACCGGTGTCGGAGCTATAGGTAATAGCTGGGCGCGGGTTTCTTGAGCCTCGTGACAATCGGATAACGGCCAGGGCCCCATACGCGCTCACGGGGACCCAACGGTTGTTTGGGCGGGGGCAAATGATATGATGCCCCCTTATTTGCTTCGGGTGGGGGGGGGGCCTGATGCCCCCCACCCCCTCGGACCGCCACTGTGTACATATTACAAAGGCCTCTGAGATCACATACTAGTTCATGCAATCTCTTATACGCAGGCCCGTCGGCCGGCCATGGTCACGCTTTTGCGAGGTCTATATCTCAGCAACCACTTGACCGACTTAGTTGCAGTGTACATACATACGTGCAAAGCGAAGAGGCGTCAGTTTTGTAACAATTGTAATTTCTCGGTAACTACTGGGCGATTGCACTGAAAGTTGGCATGTAGGTAGGCACCTAACTAGGCGATGCATATCCATGTACGTACCATAGTTAAGATGCTGCTGCACGTGCGCACATGCAGGGGTCGATTCCAGAGCTCGAGCACGGCCGAACCAATTGCGCTGAAATTTTGTACATGATTAGGGACCGGTTATTAGGGTGCCGTGCCAAAGTCAGTTGGGAGTTGGGACCCATTTTACACGTGCGCACGTGCAGGGTGCCGCTTACAGATCTCGAGAACGGCTAGGCCGATTGCGCTAAAACTTGGCACATCGCTAGGGACCGGTTAGTAGGGTGCAGTGCGCAAGTTAGTTGGAGGTACCCCCTCATAATTTCGCACGTGCAAGGCCCAGCCTCTCGCTCGCTCCGTTGGTCGCCCCAAAAGGCGTTTTACTGGTTACGGAGCGAGCGAAGCGAGCGGAGTCTTTCCTTTTAACGGAAATTTCTGAGCCGTGCGGACGCTTTTGCGAGGCTTATATCTCAGCAACCACTTGACCGATTTACATGCGGTAATTTTTGTAGGGTAGCTTCATTCCTTCTACCAAGTATTGGACTATTCCCGATGCATGTGGCACGGAATATAGGTATAGTCTACGACGTGCCTGGGTGACCCCTTAGGCACGTGCCACGTGCAAAACAAAGAGGTGTCAGTTTTGTAATTGTTGCAATATCTCGGTAACTACTGGGCCGATTGCGCTGAAAGTTGGCATGTAGGTAGGCACTAGTGATGTCAATTACGGAAAATCGGAATACCGATACCAAACCAAATACCAACCAAAACCACGGGCAAATACCGAAACCAAACCGACTTCGGAAAATGAGGGAAATACCAACTTTTTACCGATTTCTTAGCCCCTTATACATTAGTGAGGGTTCATGATACCAACAAAATACCAAACACATTACGAGTAAAATACCAAATACCAGGTTGGCATCGGTTTGGTATCGGTATACCAACAAGTTGGTATCCGATTGACATCTCTAGTAGGCACCCACCAGGTGATGCATATCCATGTGCCACAATGGGGGGTGCTGCTGCACGTGCGCACGTGCAGGGGTCGATTCCAGATCTCGAGAGCGGCTGAACCGATTGCGCTGAAATTTGGTATATAGTTAGGGATCGGTTAATAGGGTGCCGTGCAAAAGTCAGTTGGGACCCATTTTGCACGTGCGCATGTGCAAAGTGCCGCTTCCAGATCTCCAGAACGACTGGGCCGATTGTGCTCAAATTTGGCACATCGCTAGTGACCGGTTAGTAGGGTGCCGTGCACAAGTCAGTTAGAGGTACCCTTTCGAAATTTTGCACGTGCAAGGCTCACCCTCTCGCTCGCTCCGTTTCGCTCTCCGTTTCGCTCTCGCCCGCGTTTTACTGTTGTTTAGATTTTAGAACATAAAGAAGAAGTTAGCACTAGCTGAACATAGTTTTATCGGACCAGTATTGCGGGTCAAGGGCGAGAGGCAGAGGGCTGGTAGAACCCCCTCGTCGTTTCGCTATGCCTATTGACCCGTCCGTCTATTGGCCCGTCTACCTATCGGCCTGTGTCGTCTATTGACCCGTCCGTCTACCGGTCCGCATCTGCTCAGCCCGTCCGTCTATCGGCCCGTCCGTCTTACCGTCCGTCTACCGGCCCGCCTGTCTATCAGCCGCACTATCGGTGCGCCTTTCTGTAGATGACTGCTTGCGCAAGCCGTCATGTACTGATACTCCATGATAGGCCAGTGCTCCTGAAAAGCACACCTTCTGGTGAGTTCACCTTGTGCAACGGCGGCGAAAGGTCTCCTCTCTAGTGTCTCCAGTCTGCACGGTCCCGAGAGCTCCGTGGGAGACATGCAGGTGCGACTGCGGAGCCCGCGGCATGCATGCGCGTGTGTATCTGTGCTTTGCTGTGTACACACATGAGGCGTGTTTATTTTTTCCCATACCTGCTACATTGCATGATTAAATCGAGACATCCAGGCATTTTAATGGCACGTACACTGTACCACACTTTTCAAAGTTTAAATGCAGTGCTTTAATATTGCCAGCCGTGTGGTTCAAGGGGTGTGGTTAAACGCGTTGAACCACACGGCTGCTGACGTCACTATCAATTATAGTTGTGAACTTTTTGGCAGGTATGGGAAACACCTTCCAGCCAAGGCCGGGAATTCAATAAATGTCACCTCGCTTTTTTAGCGAAAAGCACCTCGGGCCTAACGGCCCTCGGAGTTTTCGCTAAAAAACCTCGGTGACATTTATTGAATCATCCCGGCCCCGGGCAGGAATATATTTTGATTAACTCCGTGAATCTGTGCATGGTATGCGCTGTGTTGTATTTCAAGCTGTAAACGTTTAACCCTAGAACGCCTAGGGGGGGGGGGGGGGTTGTATCAACCCCCCCCCCCCCCCCCCTGAGGTTTTTTCGAAGTGCACGCTAAACGGCTTGTCGTAGCGGGCTGAAATTTTCAATACCCTCTGGGGCAACCTTTGCGCATCTTTTGCCGAAAAAAAAATTGATCGGGTCATGTCAGGTCACGGAGTTATGACGTCATAAGAGGTACAGCCTCCGGCCGGATTTTCACAAACTGAGTGCCAACGCCCGAGGTTTCCTGCCGGTGGTACGGACATCAGTTGATGGATCGTGATGAAACTTCCCATGCATGTTGGGGCAAGTATTGGCTATCATATGGTATAAGAAACTTGACCGGGTCCGGTCAGGTCACGGAGCTATGACGTCACAAGACGAACAGCGTCCGGTACTATTTTTGAAAAGCGCCCGAACCACTATTTTGCTAATTCTTGTCACCTCAATGGGAATATGCAGCAATATTAGCTTCTATAGGGAGCAAATGGACCTCCCAAATCCAAAAATACAATCAGATTTCAAAAATTTAAATTTTGATTTTTCGAATTTCTGCCGCCGACTGTGACCTTGCCGACTTCCGGCGCTCCCAACGCGTCATTTTTAGAGCTAGGGAAACGAAATACATACCAAACGATAGAGAATTGATCAAGGAACACGATAGTGAAGGTTTCAAGTCGATATCTCCCAACGTTTTGCCGCAATCGCCGCCGAAAGTTGAAAAAAGTCTATTTTTCGGAAAATTTGACCTTTGACCGGTCAAAAGTAGGTCAAATGTTGACCTAGGACCAAAAAATATACCACCAATCGCGAGATCTCGTTGAGAGCAATCCGTTGGTTTTTTCCGCTAAGCTCTACGACCTTCCGTTTCGAAACGCCAGGGGGGGTCGTAACAACCCCCCCTGGTCGTTCGTGTTATGAGAAATGGCCTGGTCGTGCGAGGGTTAACCCTATTAGTGGCAGGGGGGTGTTTTTATCCACCCCTCAGGTTTTTCGGGAATATCTCCGAAACCGCTGAAGCTACGATCCTGAAATTTTCTGACTTTTCCTAAAACTAAATTGGGCACATTCCCTGAAAATTTCAAGTTCATTACTTTACCAGGGGCGGCTCCAGAGCACTGGGAATTGGGGGGTCCTATTCGTGAAGCGAGTCATTTGGGCGAAGATCACGATGCTGCACCAGTTTTACGAACAGTGAATGAAAGGTATCATGTTATAACATATACAGTTATTGTGCATCCTCTTTTGACACGTTTTTGCTATAATAGGCGGATCCAGGCGTCCAAAAAGGGGGGTTATGTTTTACCTCCCAACATAGGTGCCCTGACACCGCCTATGCATGACCAATACAATTGTAGTCGTTCTCTCATAAGAAAATTGTAACATAACAAGACCATTACCACCATTTTTAGAAACAGTACCAACAAAAACCTTATTTACTATACTTTTTGTGTACCCCCAATCTCAATGATCTGTATCCGCCTATGATTTTTGAAAATGCATATTTTTGGGATCCATGTGAATTCCTGGTTCATTCTCTATCGATCGGCAAAAGTTGCGTTAAGATTGGTTCAGAAACCTGGCCGTGATAAACAGTCTAAAATGTATCTGCAATTTGCCCGTTTTTACCCCCCTCTACCCCCCCTATTGACATTTTTATTTTTTATTTTTTAGAAATGTAGATCACGTTGAGCGAAATCGAACGCCGTTTGAATTTTGAAAATCGGCCCGTTAGATCTCGAGATATCAAGGGGGGGGGGGGTCGTAAACAGCCCCCCTGCCACTAATAGGGGGTAGCCAGGAGCCTGCCACTAATAGGGTTAATTATGTGTTTGTGAGCCAACATATTGTGACGCGTGCGTGTGCCGATCGCGTCAACTATCATCCACTTAAAACATCTGATTCACACTCTTATGATTAGTGGCATCAGACATGTTGCTCGTAAACTCAAACACTTCTCACGTTATTTTTATTATTTCCCTTTCTATCATTAACCATTCTTGACGTTTGTCATAATGGCGAATGGGGAGTGACTAGATGTTTCTTACGATGCAGGACCTTTTGTGTACGACGCTGCTGCTGCTTGTTGCTTCGACCCTTCAAGTTGTCTTCTGTCGTGATACGGTAGCGACCGAATGGGAGAAATTCAAGGCAAGTGCAATTCCGTCACCTAATTCCTTATTATTGGCTGCATCCTATCATCGACACAGTGCAACGCACCTCGCATTCTGTATGAATTTTTCTTTGATACCTATGTAATTGTAGTGCTTTCTGACCCTAGCTAGAAACATCTGAACTGAATGCGACATTTTTATCTCTGACTGATCGTTTGCAACCGCGATTGAAGCCTTCTTTCAACTTTCCGTAGGCAAAGTATAATCGATCATACTCCAGCACTGAAGAGGAAGCTTCTCGTCTGGAGATTTTTAAGTCCAATCTGCGTATCATTGAGGAACATAATGCCGGCGAGAGTTCGTATCGACTAGGAGTGAACGACCTGGCGGACCTGTCTGTCGCCGAGTACAGGCGACTACTGGCGCCGGTCGCACCCGCCGCCCGTCCGCCCGGCCACTCTGCGCGTGCGGCCGGCGTCTGGCTCTGGACCGGCGGCTCCAAGGACTGGCGGGACGAGGGTGCCGTCACGCCCGTCCGCTACCGGACGGACAGGTGCGGCTCCGGCGGCCGCTGGGCGTTCGCCGCCGCCGACACCGTCGAGAGCGCCTGGAAAATCGCCGGAAACCCTCTGGTGGTGCTCTCCGAGCAGCAGCTCATCGACTGCTCCACCGAGTGAGTGGCACTGACGACCGCGCGGCGTGCAGTGTCTCGTCTTTGTGTCTTTGAGTCGCCGCAGACATGCATCTTCCTCATCAGCCATGACACCTCATGCAGTCATATGTTAGGTGCCAACGTTACCTTTGGAATACCTACCGTCTGATCAGTTTAAAAGGGAAAATCCTTGTCAAAGCCCTTACATGCGCTATCGGCAGCGAAGCATCCGCTGGCGCTCAGTCGATGTTTAAGGCCTGATAGGCAGAAGTAGGTACAAGGGTTAACACCCTCGCCCGCACATGGGGGGGGGGGGTTGCCACACCCCCAGGCAGTCTTTCTGCTCTGCACTCAACATTTTTAAAGCTAGAAGCCTGATTTTTCGTTTAGCTGCTTTTCTATCCTTTCTCGATGGCCACTGCAAATTTCAAGTTTCTGTGTTTTTTTTTGTTTCAGAGATATGACCTTGTATTTCAGGTCATGTCATGACCCAAATGACCAATTCTCAACATCTTGCGTTGGCTTTGGGCCTTGTGAGCTTTTGACACCTTGCTTTCGGCCTTTTTTTGCCAGTCTTACCTCCCACCTATCATGGAACATGTTGTTCGACGACGTACAGATGTCAAGGTCAGGGTCAAGGTCAACCTAGGTCATCTAAAATAATTGCGTTTTAGGCAAGCTGAATTTACTTTTCGTGAAGTTTTTGACTGCATTTTTGGTAAAAGCTTCTCAGATAATGATTTCATGTAATATGGACACATAAACAATCGGTGCACACATCAGTATACACAGAGACACACACAGACATACAAACACATATCATTGACCTTGACCTAACTTGACCTGAAATGACCTCAGCAGCAAAAACCTGGTCGGGTAGTGTGACAAAGAGGTTCTAGCTGGCTTGGCACCAGAAAACGGCATCGTCATCGGTATATGATAAGCAGCGCACTTGATATCCAACGGTGACCCAAAACAGCAACATTTTTTAGTTTGACCTGACCTGGAAGGTCAATGACTGACCTGAGAAGGTAAAACTGGGTATCATTGGATTTGTCTCTTCCCAAAAAAATCTTTTTGGTCTTTACCGCGAAGCTCTATCTCCAACAGGAACGAAATGGCGCGGGGGTGGCAACCACCCCCATGTGCATTCTAGGATGGGAAAATGGCATGTGCGGTGCGGGCGAGTTATTCAACCTCAGTGTGGGTGCTGCACCGCGGCGCGGCGGAGTGAGCAAACGGGCTAGCAGGCGTAGCTAATGCGAGACCTTCCATTAGGTTTATGATCGAGTCATCGGCCTAAGACCTAACCTACAAAGAAAACTTTTTTCAACGACCGCAAGCTGAAATGCTGACAACTCCTCTAAAGGCATCTCCTGTGCATTGAGACGGCAATTGTTGACTAGTGACAACTTCGTTTTGAATATTTAAATATCGTACAATTTATTTCAGTTGTTTCGATGGCTCCTCCTGTTTCATTCATTCATATTCAGATCAAAGGCGGATCCAGGGTCATCTGAAAGGGGGGGCCAAATGCTCATTAGGTTTTTCGCTAGGATAGGGCCAGCGGAATCTAACCTACCCCAAATCCTATTTTCTCCCGGATTTCGGCCACTTTATTTCGTAAAGCTGCCAAAAATAAATTTGTAAAAAATAAAAATCACGTATCATTGACCATCAAGGCCGGTGGGAGGACCCAACCTCCTGCGCCCTTTGCAAACGCCAATCTGTGATGTCAACCATGCTCTGCCCAAACAAACCATAGAGATCTTATATACATATATAAGCATATAATGCATATAAGCATATATGCCTATAAGATCTCTATGAAACAAACATCAAGTAGCGCCTTTTTTAACCCACGCCGGGGCTGCATGGGGAGGTGTTCAAACATCCCCATGCGGTCTTTTGCGGATGTCTAAAAAACGGCGGCCGCATTTGGCACACCTGTCAATGCACATGTTATGAAAATTTCAGACCCAGGTCGCTAAATGTCAGGTCACTAGGGTAGGGTGGGGAAAAGCGCCCACCCTATATCTTTCCAGCCTCTCTCCTTATCTTACAAATTTGAATAACAACCAGGTAGCTGATCTGGTAGCTCATTAACTTAGCCTTCTTCGAATAACACATCAGAAACGTGTGGCATGCACAGTTTTTGAGATATGCCGTCCAATTTGAGAGGACGGCAAAACGCCCGGCAATTTGATCGGGCATTTTGCCCCACCCGTGGGGCATAACGCCCATTCCTGAACTTTTAATCACAAGTTTGATACTCTGGTAAAATAATGTAGCATTCATCCATTTCTTATTTCGTTAGACCTCAACTCGACAGATTGCATTATCAAAAACATCTTAAACACTGCTGTCGCCACGCCAGTTCTTATGGAGTCATCAGTCAACGCCTCTCACTGCCTTGAGGGGTAGAGATCAAATCTTGCAAATAAATCGTTCTAAATGATCATAACCAGCAAACTGCATATTTAATAAGAATCCTGAGCACTAAAAAAGTATCCCGCCATAAGAATTATTTATCGCCCCCCCCCCTTGGAGTTTTGATATCGGTGACTTAGAGCCTCGGTCTAACCGATGACGTCACAGGTCAAATTTTCGAATTTTCGAGGTCGAATTTTCACCGTTTACAGGCATTTCAAGAAATCCGTTGTAAAATCGAGTAAAATGCATTTCATTGAAAATCATCGATGGGGAAATGTTTGTCAAACACATATTTTGCTATTTGAGGTCACTGATACCAGGCCAGGTCACAGAGGTCAGGTCACTGAGGGTCACAAAGTAAAAATATCCTGTGATGCATGTTTTATGGTCCATTTTATATGCCAAATGCGATTATGTGGGACAGGCAGCCCTTGAGGTCAGTTGAGATTATGTTTTGGTGAAGGTCAGGTCAAGGTCAGGTCAAGGTCAGGTCAAATTAGGTCAAATTTCAAAGTTGATATTTTTGCATAAAATGGGTATCGATTCGATGCAGCTTGTCACGGGGAGTTCAATGGTGGTCTTTGTTTTGCGCTACGTGGTCTAGAATTGCTAAAAATTGAGTTAAAAAATTTGACGTAATCAATTTTGAACCGTTTTGAAATTTGAAAAAGGGGGGTCGGATCCGACCCCCCCCCCCCAGGCTGTCGAGGGTACGGAAATAGCTCAGGCGATGCCGGGTTAAAACAGAAACACTCAACATTTCATTCTCGCGTGTCCCAACTATAATTTGCAGAGAAAGGAACTTTACCGGGACATGTTGCAAATTTTTGGCGGAAATTTTGGTCGGATGTCAACTTCATGGTTATAACGTGTTCTTTTGCATGGCGACGATTTTGGTGGCGGGGACGGTCGTGCGGTGGCTCAGCGTTTCCAAAATTTCTTGCTTCGTTCGCACAGATTTACGTTTTAACCCTCGCCCGTAAACGGCGATCTGCCACCTTCGCCCATGCAGGGGGGGGGGTTGGTGCGACCCCCCCCTTGGCGTTTGAAAACGGAGCGTCGTAGAGCTTAGCGGAAAAGACCAACGGATTGCTCTCGCCGAGATCTCGCGATTGGTGGTATATTTTTTGGTCCTAGGTCAACATTTGACCTACTTTTGACCGGTCAAAGGTCAAATTTTCGGAAAAATATACTTTTTTCAACTTTCCGCGGCGATTGCGGCAAAACGGTGGGAGATATCGACTTGAAACCTTCACTATCGTATTCCTTGATCAATTCTCTATCGTTTGGTATGTATTTCGTTTCCCTAGCTCTAAAAATGGCGCGTTGGGAGCGCCGGGAGTCGGCAAGGTCACAGTCGGCGGCAGAAATTCGAAAAATCAAAATTTAAATTTTTGAAATCTGATTGTATTTTTGGATTTGGAAGGTCCATTTGCTCCCTATAGAAGCTAATATTGCTGCATATTCCCATTGAGGTGACAAGAATTAGCAAAATAGTGGTTCGGGCGCTTTTCAAAAATAGTACCGGACGCTGTTCCTCTTGTGACGTCATAGCTCCGTGACCTGACCTGACCCGGTCAAGTTTCTTATACCATATGATAGCCAATACTTGCCCCAACATGCATGGGAAGTTTCATCACGATCCATCAACCTATGTCCGTACCACCGGCAGGAAACCTCGGGCGTTGGCACTCAGTTTGTGAAAATCCGGCCGGAGGCTGTTCCCTTTGTGACGTCATAACTCCGTGACCTGACATGACCCGGTCAATTTTTTTTTTATCAAAAGATGCGCAAGGTTTGCCCCATAAGGTACCCAAAATTTGGCGGCGCTGCGCGCCGCCGTTTTTGCACTATTTCCGAAAAACCTCAGGGGGGGGGGGGGTTGCACCAACCCCCCCCCCCCTACATGGGCGAGGGTTAATTTGTCTACCTCATTCTATTTTGTGGACGGCGTCCCCGGTGGGCTGAGTGGCGTCAACACGGGTTGGATCGGTGGCCACTGGCCTGTCGTGGCGGCGGCAGTGGTATTTTGCTTCATTACACAACGGTACATTTATTACGTTGTATGTTTACGTTATATTCGACGTTGATCTGAAGGCTATGTTCATGTTGATTTATGTTTATGGTGTCTAATCTATCTGATTATGTTACAATACAAGAGGCGGTGCATAGAGTCAAGCACAGTGTGGTTTTGCACCACTCTTATATCATTTGCTTTATCTCTGTTATTCATGTTCATTTTCCGATCGTTTTGCTAGGTTGTCGATATGCAATAAATATTCTGGAATGGAATGGAATCAAATGCCCCCAGCAGTTTTTTGACAATGACTTTTTATGGAGACATGCTAAAGCAATGCAAACACATTCGATGTGCTCAGGTCGACAATAGCCGTTTTCACGACGGCCATCTGGTACACATTTGGTGCACATCTGGTGCAGATTAGGTGCAGATTTGGTCAAATTAGGTTCATTGTGTCTCCAAATAGCCGTTTTCACGACGGCCATCTGGTACACATTTGGTGCACATCTGGTACAGATTAGGTGCAGATCTGGTCAAATCAGGTTCAGTGTGTCTCTTAGCAGCTATC